TTTTGTGGATTTTAGTTATTTTCTATTCTCTAAGGGAGGCTCCTAATCAAAGTTTCTAACCTTTTACACAAATGATAGATTTATATGGAATCCATTGGAAACATGGATGGAAAATGAATATTGGGGACCATAGATGACTGGATTATCAGAAATTAGCTAAGGCTAGGCCCAAAATTGACCGAGTTCAAAATTTGGGAAATATCATAAATATTGGGAAGCCTCTATCTCTGGCCACCATCCAATTCCCATCTATTTGAAGCCTTTTATGGCTGTTTTTGTTCCGATTTTCTCCTGAATTCATGGAGAAAATTGCCATTGTCATTTGTGACAATTTTGGACCAAAAATTCCAAATAGCTATGATCATTTTATGGATTTGAAATCAAGATGTCAAAGAACACCCCATGCTCCTTTTGAGTTCTTGCAAGTTCACTCATTATTGTCCATTATTTGACAATTAGCCACCAAAAGCTTTTGACATTTAAGAAGCAATTTGGATAAAATACTTCTAAAATTGATGGAATTAATAAAGTCCTCTTCTTTTTTTCTTTTCTGTTCTTTTTTCTCGTTTTCAGCAGTCTTCATTTTTTTAGAAAATTCTCTAAGCAATCCGACCCCTAAAATGTTTTGGAAAACCCCTATAATTTATACTGATGCAAGAGGATTGACTGAGCTCCAAAAAATTTTCGTTCCTCATTGCTAGACCATGGTCACACTATGTACTTTTTGTTCCTTTGGTAGTCTGCTAAAAATTGATTTAAAAACGACATTTCCAAACATCGGATTGATTCCAAAGTTTACAGTTATGCTTCCAAGCACTGTGCCTTTTTTCCATAAACGTTTTGGCCCGATTGCGGATGGATTCGTTGGGGCTCTTTTGTAAATTTAGGCCCTTTAAGAGTTGATAACTACTCTAACCTTCGAGAAAGGCCTTTTGATTGAGCTCAAATTTGAGATTTAAACCTTCTAATATGGTGCCTTTATTCTACCAAAGTTTGAAACCATTTGATCATGGATTTCATAGGGCTCCTTTATAAATTTGGGCCATTTTGGGGGTGACACCCTTTATACCTTGAGAAAGAAATCCGAAAGGCTGTATCTGAGTCATATGACATCCAATTGAGTTCAAATATTGGACCACTTGGCCACCTATTTCTTAAGGCTCCTTTGTAAATTGAGGGTCGATTTGAGCACCCAAGCTGGACTTTCAACTTTACAAAGTCACCTCTTGGTCATCCGATGCCGGATTGGTCTTATTCTTTATAGGTAGCCTTGGGGTACCTTAGATTAAAGTTCAAAACCTTCGGATTATAGTTTTGAATAGGTTTGACCATGCTTCATTCTGATTCATCCGATTGCTAGCTGAAGCATGTAACCAGCTTGACTTTTCTATGTTTTCATTGGGGGCTTCTTCACATGACCTCATGGGATTTTGTTAACAATGTTTTGCACCTCATTTAAGTAATCTGCAATAGATTCTTCATCCCTGAACTTCTTGTTCAACAATTTTTACATAAAAAATACCTTAATTATGGTGGACTTTCTCTTGTATAAGTCATGTAGTTTATCCCACAATAACTTGGTGAGTGTCTATGTAGACACATGGTGAAACACGTTTTCGTCAAATCATTGTCGGATAGTTTCGAGAGGCTTTTGCTTCAATCTCTTCCACTCATCATCAATCATACTTTCGAGCTTGTGTTCGACCCTTGCAATCGGTGTGTACAAGACCTTACAGTCTTCCATCTTAGACTTCCAAATGACGACCTAGTTGCTGCCGTTGAGCGATATCATCTTACTCCTGGTACTGAAATCCATATTTAATCTATGCACACAGTCATCACACCCCTCTTTTCTCCCTTTCTTCCTTTCACTAGAGATTAGGGAGGATCACCGTCTGTTAAAGTCCCTTCGACGGTTAAAGTGCCTCTGACGGTTACAATGCATCTGCCGGTTAAGATGCCTTCGGAAGTTAAGGTTGCTTTGTCAGTTAAGGTGACTCGGATAGTTAAGGTGCCTCTGTCGGTTGAGGCTGTCTCTAGTGGTTAAGGCTTCACCATCGGTTAAGATGCCTTCATCGGTTAAGGGTGGCAATTAATTCCATCAATCAAGGTCGGTTTCATCGGTTAAGGGCAACTTCATCGGTTTAATGCCCCATCAGTAGTCAAAGTATCTTCGACGTTTAAACTCCCACCGGCTCACCATCAGCTAAGCTTCACCGGTTGTTAGAGTAGTTCACTTTTGGTCAAGGTGTTTAACTACCGGTCTGTCAATTAATATCTTCTTTGCACACTGGTTCCTCACCAATGGTATCTTTTAACTGACATATGTTCCAAAATTCAGCCTACTCAGGAGGTTCAATGGAGAATCAAGGGAAAAAAATGTGTGCTTTGATACCACTTTGTTGAGCTCACCTGATCAAGCCCACTTGCAAAACTGCGGACGAGTGCAACGGAAACCAGATTCACGACAAAATACATCAAAACTTGTGTGTGCGTATGAGTGAAGATAAAACAAGCAAGAAATCAAATAAATACTGAGACGAAATTTATGTGTTTCACCTTTTAGATTACATCCACAAGAGAAAAATATCAAATCCACTATTAAAAGTAATTGTTACAAACTCATCTAAGAGGCAAGCTTTCTTAGTCTCATTGACTTATTCTAAAGGAACTTCACTCTCTAGGTTTTTTATCTCTGAGATTCCTCTTCTCTTAGATGTTTTTTTTTCCCTCTCTAGAGCAGACTTCTTTCTCTTTATCTCTTCATCTTCTTCTCTTTAACAAGAATGATCATTTTTTGCCTTTTTTTTCTTGTTCTCTCTAACAAAAGAATAACTTTCTCTCTCTTCTTCCTCCTCTCTAAGAGAAGGCTCTATATATCTCTCTAATACACCAAGAAGAGGTACACACAAATAAGAGGAACTAGTTCGTCTTAAAGAAACCCTAGCCTCTAAATGAGGATTCCTTAATATGTGGGATGAGATTTTGTTTTTCAAATTCTCTAACCCCTTCTCATGTACTGGTTATCCACTACAACAACGCAATGAGTTGTATTATCGCAACACACCCCATATATTGGGAAAATTTCATTGGTGCCCCCCCTTATGGGACTAAACACCCAACACAGCTGACCCCACAAGTCCATTCCACATAATACAGCTATCATATATGCATGATGTACGAGCGGTATAATCAAGGTTTGCCCCTTGTCCTCAGCCTCCAAACCCTCCCCTGGCTAAACTCCTTATCATTAGGATAACTTTGTAGTCGATAAGGGATGACCAACAAAACCCTCAATTATGACTCAAGCCCATTTAGGCATCAAGGACTCTTGGGTTTTTCACTAAATCAGCCCTAATCCTTGACCATCGTACCTCACTTGAGTCCAATGGCACTCTTGCCATCCAGCTCTGAGACTTCTTTCGTGGATGAGGCATCTTAATCCCACATGTACCCACTAAAAACCTCACTCAAACAAAGGTGTCTTTTGTGCATTCTACATAAGGCCTTAAAAGAGCTAAGGCCTTTAAATGCCATAAATCCCAACATTGAGGCTCACCTTTTCACAGCCCAAAGTTTAATTGTGATCTTGAACTTCTATCACCTCTATATCTAAACAACTGGTCAGTTTATTTAAGAATGTATGAATTGCAATAAAATATTTAACAGCTCTCTTGATAACACGTACAACCGTTTCAAATACATTTAATTGAACTCTATTTCCAGTGAGGTTAATGTGGAGATCGTTCTTTCTTTTTTCTTTCTTTTTTTTTTAATTTTTTTTATTTAATTTTTATTTTTTTGATATCATGTTCATTAATAAAAACAAAACAGACAAAGACTCATCATCCCCACTCATCTACCCAAAAAGAAAACAATTAGCCACTGTTGTCAGCCCAATTTCCAATCCTCACCATACTTTCCTCAACATGTTTATCAAAACGTTACACGTGTAACCTCATCGAATCACACGTGATCCTACAATGAAGACAATGGACAAGCATTATTGGGACTATTGGAATTTCCACGGCCACGATTTCGAAGGTATCACATCCTAAGATTGAGTGTGAGATTCATTTATGCCGATGTGTGAGAGACAAATGTGGCCCTCCAACTGGCATCCGTACACGATGAACTGTACAAAAGGGGACCTCCTCATGCATTGTGTATTAGAGATAGAGTGTGAGAGGTAGAGAAAAGGAAGAGGCCTCATTCACTTGTACCCACAAAAATAAATCACTTAGGTTGTGATATGATATAATTTAGGTTGAATTCCGTATACACACACCAAAAAAAAAAATCACCTAGTTTGGGATATAGTATAATTTAGAGTGAATAATTCCGTATGCTACAAAAAATATACGAAATGAGTCGATTTTGGGTTAAAATTACAAAAAACAAATCGGTCAATTTGAGGTTTTTTATTTTCTCCAAAATCCTTGGTCGATATTTTATTTTGTTTTTTTAAAAAGATATTTATAGTAGGATTGTACGCTAATGGTTAGGGCAATGCCCGCGCATCATAAGACAGCCTTTTGATAAGACAGCCTTATGTGGTGCTCTTTAAAGCGGTTCGAGGTTGGCATGCTTGGACTGCAAAGACCGACTTTTTAAAGCATGCTGAAACGATCCAAGCTGCCCATTCTCAAACCTCCTTTTTTGGTGTGCTCTTTAAGGAAGTCCGAGGTGGGCATCCTTGAAACGAATTAACTCATTTTTGCTAAGAAATAAAACAATCCGAAGATGCCAACCTTAAAGTGACATCTGGACTAAGCACTGCCCACTACTAACAAAGAAACTACATAAAATTAAAAAGTAGTTCGAAGGGCAATTTTTTAAAAAATAAAAAACACAAATTGATAGACCTTCCACGGAATTTTGTATTTTTTTTTTTTCGGGTCTGTTGGTAAATTACTTTACAATTTATCATTTAGCATGTGATATGTTATAATCTCCCAGATATATAGCTCAAAAAAATGAAAAAGAGAAAACAAACACTATTTAACAATTCTTAAACATCTTGAAAGCATAACAATTTCCACTTCTACAACCCCAACTTGAGGGCACTCTTGTCACATGAAAAACCCTTTAAGGGTATTGACACCAGGGTATTTTCGTCATTATCCAAGGACCAGCCAGGTATTTTGGTCATTGTGAAAGGACCACAATGCACACACAAATGAAGCCACGAAAGAGACGAAGAAAAACCTGATAGCCCTAAAAAAAGAAGCAACAGTGTTGTCAAGAGCAAAACATAACAAAGCAAGCACGCCTTAGGTGCTAGTGTGCTAATTTGTGGGCTCTGTTTTAGTTCCCACGACAATGCAGCCACGAATGTGTCGAAATGCGAGCATCGTTGTCACTTTTTATTAAGGGTTATTGTTGTTGTTGTTGTTATCGTTGTCGTGCTCTTCCTGTTCCTTAGATTGCTTACTCTTATGGGCAGCCCTTGCTTTGGCACTGGGAAGGGCCCGTACTGTACTCCACTCTCCTTCCCCACCACATCCCACCTGTGTGATCACGAGAATAGCACCATTTTATCAAATTATAAACATTAAATAGATGGTTGACGACCTTATTTTTCAAAATACCCCATATGTGTTTCTTTTAAATTATTGTTTTATTAAAAGATCTTTTTACAAGTTATAATATAAGAAAAAAGTGCAGAAAACATAAAACATCTTTAAAAATCAAGACACTTTCAACATTGTGACACCCTAACATAAAATATTTTTAAAAAATAGAAAATTCTCTAGAAATAAGATCATTTCTTAAAAAAGAGATCAACAGCCCCTCTTCAGCAATGTGACATCCTAACACAAATAATTTTAAAACTTATAAATATTTCAAATATTAAAAAAAAAATTCCTAACCCTTTTAAAGGAAATTTACATTGGTAAAAAAATATTTTCACTCTTCTCAATAGCACAAGTATTCAGCTAGAGTATCAGAGTGTCAAACAGAGAGATTTAATGCTATTTAGAGGTTTCTTATGTTTGTAATTTGGTAAATGGGTATTTTTATCCATAAAACTTTGAAAAAAAACAAGTGACATGTTTGTTGAAAAAATTAAATTGAGAAGTTTTATTTGAGATTTTTGAAAAAGATTAGGCAGGCTATAATTTGGCAGCACAAGAGAAATTTCCTTCCAAGAATATAGCTAATTTCTACATAGCAAGTCTGTTTTTGCCATTTGACTTACTACGATTGAAACACCATATGCTCCTGGGATATTTTATTCTTGGAAGAGTCATCTTCAGTTAATAGTAAACACAAGATTGAAAGATTACTGGGTTATTTTAGTTTCGGAAAACTCATCTTCAGTGGATAATAAATACTTGGTTGAAAGATTATATATGGTCGGGAAAAAGCGATGATGATGATGACGATCGTTAAAAGATTATAAGATTATATACGGTTGGGAAAAAACTCTGATGATAATGATCGTTAAAAGATTATATGCTCATGTAAGAGCAACACACATGGTTGTCTCTCAAATAGAAACCTGGCCGAGTGTATTCTAAGGGACCCAAATTTGGAGGATGCGCAATATAATAAACCTATTTACAGACCTACATGAACTTTAGAACACACCCTGATACTACATGAAATAACTCTATGGCTGCATATAAACCATCCCAAACATTTAGGTACTCAAAATCTATGTTTGTGAAGCTGAGGAACTTAGTGAAATTATCATCGGAGTCTTTTTTTCCCAACTATTTGGGATCGGCTGAAAAAATTATTGAAATAGTCGCACCAAATTGACGCTCAAACTCTTAAATGTGCATTAAATTTCGCCCTATAGGAGCATAGCATATGCTCTCCCAACAAATTTTTTAATAGCTTAGTTTCTCGGATCAAATCAGTTTGGTGGCTGCTCATATAAAATAACACCATCACTTTTCTTAGAATTATTTTTGATCAGTAGCCAAAAGAAGTGTCCGACTTTTGAACCTATTGGCCGACACTAAACTCATTTTCCAAAGGGAAGAATTCAAAATGAAATTTTTCTCAGGCCCCCTCTAAGACTCTAAGTCATTTTCCAAAAGAATAATTCAAAATGAGATTCTTTTGAAATGCGGTCTTCCCCTGAGACACGTCATTTTCCAAAGGAAAAATTTAAAATGATATTTTATTCAAATACCACCCCATTCTAAAAATCTATCTTGAATACAAATTTAGATATGAAACACATGCTAAGTAACTCAAGATGCACTAATGAAATAGATCCATGATTCACAGCTCAAAAAACATTGCCACCTACAAAAAATAAATAATAAATAATAAATAATAAATAAAAGAAATGTTAACGATAATCCAATGTTAAAGTGCAAAATCAACTTTTCTATAAATTACAGACTTTCGCCGAGACATCAATCCCTGCCCTATTCAAGTTTGAAACTTTTAAAAAATTACTCGAAAATAGTTTATTTAATTTTTAAAACATTTTAGGAGTTATTTGCAAAGAGAACATGGAGGTCACAATCACTCACGACTCATTAGTTGTCAAAATGGAAACCTTGCGATAAGTTGGGAAGTCCAAGAATTTTTTTTTAACTTTGTGTATGATACTTTACAAAACACTCGCTTTCAAATTTAAGGGACAAGATTGTGACCTAAAAAGATAAATGGTCAATTTACAGACAATCCCAATAATTTATACTTAAGTAGGAGTATACCATCTATTATTTTTGTCAGGTAAAACAAATATAAAATTATTTTAGGCCCCCTAATTTTTGGCGATGTATACTCTTCAACCCATATACTAACCTAGTAAAAAAGAAAAAATATCCAAACCGAACTCCCCATACGTTAGAAAAAGAATGTCTTAAGATTACAGGGAGATAGTAAGGTGAGATATAGGTTTTAAAAAACTCAAAATTCAATGTTTTGTATCTTTTAAGTATAAACATCAAGTAACTATTAGGTGATTTCCAAAGTTTCAAGCTTTAAAGAAAAATTCAATTCTTTCACTGAAGGTGTAGATATACAGTGTGCCCCCGCAGGAGCAAAATATACTTTCACATCTCCAAATCAACTCCTATAAATGTCCACTCAAACTCATAAATGCAAAAGCCACGTGTGTATGCAATTTTGAGCCACGTGTGCCAACTCCCACCCCTTTTTCCTCTTCTCGATGTTATCACTATTATTATTGGGACTTATTCTTTAGCTTCAATATTATTTCAGGAAAAAATATACAATAGGACTTACTATTAGTAGTAATAATTTGAAGTTGCAGGCGAACCAATTCGGTTTCTCCATTTATATATATCCTATCAAACATTTACAGGTAGTTCTTGCACTGAACACCACCATGAAAGGAAGAGAGAGAGAAAGAAAGAGACTGAACACCACCATGCAAGGAAGAGAGAGAAAGAGAGAGAGAGAACTGACCGGTATTTGGTAGTGAAATGATGGAGGAGAACGAGCATCTCGAGCTTTGCGAGCTCACTTCCAGGGCAGGAGTGCAAACCATTGCCAAAAGGCATAAAAGTATTGGGCTTCAAAGGAACCTGGAAAAAACCCAGCCTCTGTAATCCTTTCTTTTTGTAAGCTCAGGTTTAGAGAAAGAAAGTGGAGGGTTTCAGAGAGAGAATATTTTACCTCAAACCTGGATGGGTCGAATTTTTCAGGCTCTGGAAAGAATTCAGCACAGTGGTGTATGTTTCTAAAGAGAGGGAGCACCTTCCAACCCTTTGGGATTACATAACCATTTAACTCCACGTCCTCCACAGCTTCTCTAAATGTGAACGATAGAATACTAGCCGCTCTAAGGGTCTCTTGAATGACCTGAAAATTCCTTCCATTTAATTGAATGTATGATGTATGTATTGGTACATGTGCGGCGATGGGCTTCATATGTGCCACATTTTTTATTTAATCTAATTTATATTTTTTAAATATTATATATTAATTAACATTTATCTTTAAAAAAATTATTTTAGAGAAGAAAAACTCTTTTTTTCGAGAGACAGTGGGCATTGAAGATAACTACTTTTTATAATTTAGGGTTTCAGAGTCACAGAAATATACAGATAAACAAAAGCTACTATCAATTAGTTTGCTCTATGCGATTTAGAGTCCAATTACACTTCCTATCAATATATGGGATTTTTGGTGGGTTCATCAGCTATTATTCTTTATCATTCTTTATACTAACAGTGTCTAACTATATAATTAATTTATTTTGTTTAGGCCTTCTTTAGTAGAGAGAGAGAGAGAGAGTTACCCTTGTAGTGAGAGGCATGTTCCTTGTATCGTTCCATGTCAATCTGCGATTTCCCTTAATCATTTCTCTTCTGATGCCTTCTTGCTCTCTCTGCAATAGTTTGATTCATGCACGTGAGTCTGAAAGCAACCTCTCTCTCTCTAGCAACCTTTCTCTCTCTCTCTCATGCATGTGAATCTGAAAGCAACCTCTTTCTCTCTCTCATGCATGTGAATCTGAAAGCAAACTCTTTCTCTCTCTTGAAACCTCTCTCTATATCTCAAGTGAGTTCAATTTTGAATTTTCCCTCTCCTCTCTCTCATCATTGGGACCACAGTTGCCCTTGTCATAAGCAAATAAGCTTAAGAAAAGTGATGAGAGTTTGTAATTTGCAAATTAGAGAGAGATTATGGTGAAGCGGGCACACGTTGTACATCTGGTTAAAATGGTTAAAAAATAGACGACAAAAATAGAAAGCTCCATAGTATCTTCTCAATTTTCTTCTTTCTTTTGGGGCAGTGGACTTTGAATTTTTGCTTTTTTTTTTTTCTCATTTTAATAGCTCATTTTTTCCTTCTTTTTTTTTGTGGTAAACGCTCAGCGCGTCGATAGCTCAAAACCCCACGAAGTTTGCAGACGACTTTGTACTGGACAAATGCTCTTTCATTCTTGTTCAAGACTGCTTTTAAAACACAAAACAAATGACAAAATAAAAGGAAAGAATTCCTTCGAACTACAATATAGAGGGAGAGAACACGCTTCCACCAAAGAGAAGTGTTTCAATTTAGGAAAACTTGAGAGAGAGAGAGATCTTGTTTCTTTAACTCGAAAAAGTTAGAGAAGATACACCGGCCATTCTCTCACGGCATGGCCCATTTTAACCGGGCTTTCTCTTACAGCATTGCCCAATCATTTCAACTCGAAATGATCTTGTTTCTTAAGTCGAAAAAGTTAGATAGAAGTCGCAATCGTTTCAACCGGCTTTTTTCTTACTGGATTGCTTATTTATTTATCTAAATAAAAATCACAATTATTATCACTCATTAAATATAAGATAGAAATCACGATTATCATCACCCATTAAATATCAAATTATTGTGGGTCACCAAGTCCGAGATATCTTTTCTTAGACATTATCTTATAGCCTTATAATCCCCTATTTTAAAATAAACAATTGTTTCATTCGAGCTGAACTGCAATTCTATAATGTGGTCTACAGGTATAAAGTGACACAAATAGGTGGTCCATTTAAAATCAATTAAAAACAATTGTAACTCTCAGTTAAATATTTTTTTAATATAAATATTACTTTTAGTTTTCGAAATTAATTTTTTTCATTTATTCAAGATCTTCATGTTAAAAATTATATTATTTTTTAAAAATTAAGATCAAATTATATTTAAAAAATATATTTATTATACAGCCTACATGTGTGCATGTGCGTGACCACATGCTTTAAAGGACAAAAATGATGATGACCTTGTACAAAACAATAAGTAGTGTCTTTATAAACAATCGTGCGATGGTAAGTTTTTGTATTATAGAGAGAGAGAAACTCTCTTGGGTTTTTTACCCGAAAAAGAAATAAAAGTATTAGGTTCTTGTGGCTGTAAAGGAACTAAATGGCCTCTTTCGGAATTCCACCAAGGTTCAAAAAATATCACTTCGCTATAAATGTCAACCAGGTTCTTCCTTCTCTTGTTTTGGAGAGAGAGAGAGAGAGAGAGAGAGAGAGATTGCTATTTTAGAGAGAGAGAGTGTTGCTATTTTAGAGAGAGAGAGAGAGAGAGAGAGAGAGAGATTTGGCATATTGAGGTACCGTGACAGAGTGAAGGAGTGGTCCGTGATCGCGCAGGAACTTAAGTACCCAGGTGAGGGCACTAGCCGTTGTATCTTGTGCCGCGAAGATCACCCCTATTACGTTGTCCGCGATCTGACCGTCCGTCAGCTCCATGCGCTTCCCACCCTTCGATGAAGCCATCAGAATCTCCAGCAGCCCGCCGCGTGTCACTTTCTCCGCCCTCCTCTTTGCCATGACCTTCCTAAGCATCTCGCTTAGCCGTTTCCTCGCCTGTATGAAAATCGCCAAAAAAAAAAAAAAAGAAGCACAAACTTCTAGAATATTATAATTTTGGCCACCCAAACATGGAATTTAAGTTTCTCGAATTTTTTAATTTCTTGTGGAAAGAAAGATAGTCACCTTCATGGCTTTGTGAAAAGAGGTTCCCGGAAAATTGAGAGGCATTGAATTGTAACCTCTCTCTATCGAGAGATAGAGACTCTTTATGCCTTCCGAATCCAAATCTCTGCAGCTTCCAAACACCGCTAGCATGGCCACCTCAAAAGTCAGCTGCATAATGTAAACATGAGAATTAATATATTTTGTCTCTCTTCTCGTGTGAGTAAATTCTTTTTTTTTGAGTTTCTTGTTAGATTTCCTTCGCTCTCTTTCTTTCTCTCTCACCTTTTTCATTTCATGGAAGGTGTTGACAGTGGTGCATTCCCATGACTTGAGGAGAGAGAGAACCACCTTCTCAATGTCGGAGACGCTGTCTCTAATGGCGTTTGGAAGCAATGAGGCTTGAACGAGCTTCCTTAACCTGGTGTGGTACTCACCCTGGTGGAAAAACAAGGCCTGGGGCCCTATCATCCTCTCTTTACTCGACGGGAAAGTGGGTTTAAACCGGTGAGCCTGGCTCACCAACACGCACCTGGCCGCCTCCGGGTTCGATATCATTATGCATGGGCAGCCCAATATATGCGTCTTAAATATAGCTCCATACCTTCATTCATTACCCACAGAAATGTAAGTTCATCAAACAAAGCTCTCTCTCTCTCTCTCTCTCTCTCACATATATGTATACTACCATTAGGGAGCTACCAAAAAACAATAGAAAGTCCACTTTCTCTCTCTAAGGAATAAGAAATTGATGATTTCTCTCACTAAAACTTTCTCTCACCGCCTTTGTTTATCAGCAAAGAACGACTCTGGACTCTGAGAGTAAAGCTTGAAGGTTTCCCCAACGTAGGGCCAGCCCATGGAACCGGGTGGTAAGTGTTTGTTTGTGGGGTGATGCCATAGTCGAATTAGAAAGAGAAGTGCTAAGAGAGCAACAGGAAACAGAAGAATGCACATGGGAACCCTTTCGAAGAAAACAAAACGAAGAACGAAGAAGAGAATGAAAAGAGAGAGAGAGAGAGAGGAATAAAAAAAGAGAGAAAGAGAGAAGGGGAAAGAGAAATAGAAAAAAAAAAAAGGGCAGAAGAGAGAGAAAGAAGGAACAGAGAGAGAAAAGGAAGAGGAGATGAGTGACAGGGGAGGAGGGAGAGATGGGCTGTAGTTTTGAGGAGAGAGAAATTGATGATTTGGTTTGTGTAGAGAGAGAGAGTGGGGGTTTAAATAGAGGAAGATATGACATGCGTCGAGGGGACTTTGGTAACACCCGCCTTGTTTACATGGGGAGGCGAGGACAACACATCATCCCTCTTTCTCTCTCTAAAACCTCCCCTAACTCTCTCTCTCTCTCTCTCTCATCATATTCAGATTTGCAAATGCCCCCGTGACCATTCTTATCTCCCGTGAGAGACCTACAATCGCTAACCCATTGCCTTCACCTCGCACGTTCGCTTCCCATAATGTTAAAACACATTGCCTTCGCCTCGCACGTGCGCTTCCATAGTGTCATTTTAGCACATGCGAGATGTAGCAATCATTGGCTCGGCTCGGTTCCAGCCGATTGCTGGCTTCTATGAAAAAGATCACAAATCATTTATAAAATCCGACACTACGAAAATATATATTTATAGCTTACAAAAGTGGACATCATTTTTTCTTGGTTTCTTTTTCGTTCGTATTTTATAGTACGGAATGATTTATAAGAATTCGTGTAGTTGACTTTAATTAATTTTAAAAAAAAAAAACTTATAATTATGATGATATTATTTTTTGTTTTTTTAAAAACAATTAAATATACTAAACGGCGTTAGATTTGAAATCAGATCGCATGTATACAACTTCTAGAGCCAAAAGAAAATTTTGCGCTTTTCCTTTTCAGGGTAAACGGAGTCTAAGACCTCATTTGGGATGGAGTTTGGTACCTAAGTTGCCAGATTAGATGTTAACAACTTCGATTGTGGTACTTCTTTTGGCATGGAAAGTAAAAGGTGTTGGGAGTCCTTTGTTTTGAATTTTAGCGGAACTTTTCAAAATACACTTTACTGTTCAGCAATTTTAGAGTTCATTCTTTTTCAGCTATTTTAACTCATGGTCGTGTGTATTTTGATGGGTCTTTTACTATTAAAACAAAAGATGTAGATACAATATAAAATAGTTGTTCTCTTATGTCTACTTTGATAAGAAAAATTGTTTCATACAGGCTGGATATGCGGTCCACAAGTACAAAGCATCCATTTTAAAGATGTTGCAAATAGGTGGTCCATCTAAAAACAATATGTTACAAATAGGTGATCCATCTATAAACAATATATTGTAAATAGGTGATCTATCTAAAAACAATTGTAACTATCGGTCTAAATGTTTTTTAATATAATTAGTATTTTTAGTTCTTAATTTTTAATTTTTTTCATATTCATATTACGCATGTTAAAGACTATATATTCTCTGAAAATAAAGATTCAATTACATTTAAAATTATTTTTATTGCCAAGCCTGCATTTCTAAAATATGTGGGCTGGGCTCATAGAAACCGTGTCCTTTTCATAAAGGGAGAAGTTTATGTAGAGCCGAGGCTCTAAACAATCAAATTTGAGCCTACCTCAAAAATTTTACTATAAGAGGTTGTTTTGATGCTCAAATATCTTCATATTGATCATCTCGACATAAAGATGCATGGACATGCAAAAAAAAATGGATTGCAAGTTTTGAAATAGTGCATTTTGTGATGCATTTTTTTACCGTCAATTTTCAAAATTTTCAAATTTTCATGGATATGTCGATCTACACTATTTTTAAAGCTTTAAACTTCATAAGTAAATATAAAAACATATTTTAAGGTTATCACAAAGATTTCCAATATTGAAACCACATTTTCTCGATACTATTTGAAAGTAAGCTCTAATTTTATTGTTTAGAACCTAGGCTCTATACAAACCGCGCCCTTTGATAAATATCCCTAACTTCCATCAATGATTGATATGAACTTAGAAAACATCATAAGTGACATTATGGTCTGCTAAATAGGCATACGGTTACAGAGAGAGTGGGACCTAATTAAATTTGTGACTTCTTGTTCTGGTACCTCCCCCTCTCTCTCCATAACGGTCACACCAACGAACGAATGGTGATGAGACCTTGATCATTTTGTTTTGTTTAATTTCATTATGAGCTTTTAATTTTTAAAGACGTATTGCATTTTAAGCAATGTTTAAAGACGTATAGCATTTTAAGCAATGTTTAACTGCTCAAGCTCTTATTAGTGAGTGAGGATTTTACAAGTTAATAAACTTTTAATATCTACAAGAATTAAACTTCTATTTATTTTTAAATATCAGAACTTTACTAATAAAGGTTTAATATCACGCTCAAGTAATTCGATTTAATAGACTGCACCGAATTTACAAGTTTCCTGGGCATCGATCATTGGGCATTACGATGAGATCATAACACCCTTCTCTTTTTTTTCTTTTTTTTTTTTTGGGGGTAATTCGGTGTGGAAAAGAGGCGTCTAGCTGTTTTTTTATATAGATTAAGGAATTAGTTTTTTTTTTAAAGAATCAATGGGTGGTATCAGCAAGAATGGAAATCACAAAGTAGTAGTTAAGTATGGGGGTGTTACCACCACGACCCAACTCCTTTCCTAAAAAAATCCAAATTGCCATATCAAGGGATCGAAATAAGGGTGGCAATAAGCCGGGCTAGGCCAGCATTAGGCCTCGCCCAATCCTTGCCCCCATAGGATCAGCTCAAGCCTGACCTTAGCCCTATTAGGGCCAGTTTGAGCCGGACAGAGCAAAAAACAAATGAAGCAAAAATACAGAAGAATAATAATAATATATATATAAATACTGAGATTAGCCCACTAGCTCATATGAACATATGAGCCCAACGAACCAGATTAAATCTGAGCCGATCTGATGGTCACAACCTCATTTCGTATTTTAATTTTAATATTTTTTTCTACGAATCTAAATAACTTAAAATTTTAGGCGTATGTTCTTCAAAAATAGGTGAATCTAATAAAAATATCAAAAAAATAATTTTCAATAAATAAATTGATCAAAATTCCCCTAAAATGTTATCGGGGCATTTTGGTCAGTTTAGTTTTTACGAATTATTTTTTAAATATTTTTATTAGGTATACCTTGATGAGAAAAATAAACGCATAAAATTTCAAATTATTTGGATTTTTAGAAAACAAATTAAAATTCAAATACAAAATGAGGTCATGATCGTCAGATCGGCTCAGATTCAATATGAGCAGTTGGGCTCATATGTTCATATGAGTTGGTGGACTAATCTCAACATTTTTCCATAGGCAAAACCAAGATAGGCCGAATTGGGTTGGCCCTGGCCCTAGCTCACCTTCGTGCCATAATTTGTTGCCTACTTTTTTAGAGTTGGGCCGCCTAGCCCTAGATCGAAACCCTATAAGAGGTAAATCAATGTTCCTTCTTCATATGTTTGGATACATATGGGAATAAACTTACTATGAAATGGTTATAAAGTCGATGGATCGACCAATTTTTTTTCTATGTTTGCATCTGAAAACTTCAATCAATTTGTGAGTGATCGTTTCTCAACAAAAAAAACAAAGCTAAGTCTTGACCAAAGGACCAAATTAGTACGATCCAAGGGACTATTTGCCCTAGTTTTTTATGAAATGGTCAAAACAGCTAACACTGAAGTTTGGATCACTAACTTCCTTGGATGTCGAGAGGCCACATATGCTCATCTGTTCCATCTGTTTAATATCTATCACGCTAATAGTTACTGTTTTTGGTAGTTCAGTCGTAGCAATCAAACTTGAGATGTAGTAGTCACGATAATCTTTACTAAAGTCTCGTATAAATGACATCCTTTTTATAGTTATGAATTTCTTAAATATTATTCTTTTTGATTCAGACCTATTGTAATCATACTGAATTTGCCAAGTTGGATATTATCCTCTTTTTTCTACTTCTTTAGTAGAGTACGGCGCTCCCAGAACCTCAAGCTCTTAAATAGTGGTTGAGAAATTGTGAGCGACTGTAGTTGAATTGGAGTATATACAGAGAGGGACAAGAATCATTAAGAAGAATAATGCATGGAGCTCATTGACCACAGGCTTACTTAATCAAGACAAGACACCGCGTATTTCTTGAATCGCCAAGAGGTCGATTTTTTCAACATCTTCCTTACCCTCCCTCTGGGTGGAGCAAAATTCTCCAATGTAGGGCTACTTCAAAAAAAATTCCAGCTGTTCATGCCCAACGGGAAGGAGCAATGCCGATATTTTCAGTCGGCATTGTCTCAGATTCCGAATTTGGATGGCCATTAATTTTCAATAAAATCTAGCCAATTACTCCACCATAGTAGGCACATCAAATGCCAGTTGGCCGAATTTATGTTAAGCTAATAGGGACAAGTGAACATGTTTAGACTATTCTCCAGTCCCATGAACTGTACCACCAAAAACTTGTGTGATGTCCATGTATTGGGCTTCAGATATCCTTTTCACAGCATGAAAATGGTACTATGGGAGAGGGAGAATATCCCTCTTATTGTTTTGTTGTCTTTTGAGATAGAAAGAGGTGAAGGGGGGGCGACTAGGACATGACAAAAGCTTTCCTTTCAACAATAAAGAAATGTTCCCATATCTCCAAACCGCAACTTAAATTGAGGGGCAAAAAGCCTTTTCTAATATGTGGCGATTAAAGCAAGTGGTAGGTGACCTACAAAAGCAATAATAAGGGCCAAGACCATATTGAGGGAACTAAGAAAGTATCCTCAAAAAGAATTTATTTTTAAGGAAAAATTTTTTATATGGTGTCAACCTTATATTGTACAAGTAAGGTGCACCTCAAAACTCATTGGAAAAGGTTGTTTCATCATTAGAAAACTCTCAAATTGATCATCTCCACTTCGATATGTATGAATATGAAAAAAAATTGAATTTCAAGTATTAATAATAGTACATCTTGTAGCACATTATCTAGACCGTTCATTATCAAGATATTTAAGTGTTCATAAATTTACTAGATCTGTATCATTTTTTGAGCTTTCAA